GATGGTAATGTGGTCAGTTTGGATACAAGTCATTGAAGAATCCGGTGGGCGCAATGTGAACGCATGTGCTGGAAAGTAGTGCTGCTAATGTAAGAGTTGTAGCCAGGACAAAGTTGCAGAAAACGACCACCGCTGTCTGTTCGGCGTGCATCGACCCCGAAGCAGTCTCCTAGGTGACCCACTTGTGTATTCATTTCGCCAATAACAATCGTGACGTTAATAGTTTTCGCCATGCAGAGAAGAGATGAGAGCTGACGATAGATATAGTCTTTTATATCCTCCGAACTTCAGTAAGTGGGGATATAAGCGGAGATGAAAAGGCGCATTGTCTTCAGTCGGTGCTTATTAAGCCCAATGGAGGTTCGAAGTTGAAGCGCACACATGCAGCTGTTCACCGGCATCCCGTCGAGTAGAATGCCTTCAGCATGTTTGATGAAGATGATATCGACACTGGAATTACCTTGAAACATTAACTCAGTATGGTCAAAGACGAGAAAAGTGTAGTCATTGGTAGCCGGTCTGCGGGCGTCACGTTAACAGGTAAAAGGTCGATCGGTTTGTCTTCCTGCTATCCTTACCCTCCGGCACTTTTTCCTTCCTTCTTCCGTGCTTCCTTACATCGGCCTCTTCCTAGGCGGTTGAGCATCAAGCCGCCTACGAGGTATTTCTTTTGTGTTGCAGCTCTAAGGGTCTATTACGACCCGCAATACTATTTGAACACGGAAGAGCTTCGAATGCCGGACCGAAGGAATATTATACATTGTTGTCAGATCCAGAGCCAGGGAGTCGAAGATTCGTGACAATGCCGTTATCTCGTATGCGTGTTTCGGAGACAGAACACATAAATACCAATAGAGTGAACAGTAAGAGTTAGTGCTACGTGCCGGCCGATCTGACACAGTGTGGACAGTAAACGAACCAATGTGAAATGAAGCACTTGGTTTGAGGGATAAACTACTTGTATCAATGTTAGCAGCCGCAACAACAACAATTGTTTGTCAAGAACACGGGAACTTATGTTCTGGCCAGAAAGGACCAGTCAAATACGCAATTATGTATCAAACTACTTAACTTGTAGTACATATGATATGCGCTGAAAGAATCGATGATGCTCTGTGAAGTCCCAGAGAGACGCATGAGGACCCCTATCTTGTTACTGGAAACAAGGAACGAGACTTCTACGGAGAACCGGACAAGTCCAGTACAGCGTTTGTTAGGTCGCAGAACTAGGACGTTGCTATAGGCGGCTAAGGCTCTACTGCAGTCACAAAAGTTCGACTGTAATTCTGAAAGCGCCTACACAAGTGAAAATGCAGTGACAAAAAAGTACTACAGCTTTCACTTCTAACATCTGAGGACGAAGTCCATCGCAATGAGGCTGGGCCTCACCGTGGTGCGATGGTTTGCGTGTCTCAGAGATCCATTGAGCTATGCTGGGTGGTGCCTTTTTTGCACATTCAGAGCCACTCATACCAGATTCGTCAATGGTTAGAGGCCAGACAGACTCAGCCTCCTGGTCTTCCAAGTTGGGGGTTGGAATGAAGGTGGCTCCTCATTTCATGAAACAAGCCCTCTGTAGTCCAGTGCCAAAACCCGCTGTCTTGCGGTAAGGTTTTTGAACCAAAGGCTTTGGTTGAGAACCGTAATCGTTCTACTGTCTAGTCCTGGGAAATCTGACAGTATTCTGGCTAAGCAATACAATGAACCTTTCCTACAACAACTTCTTGATGCTCTGGCCGTCGCAGAGGATAATAAACGGCGCCCTATCTGCTGCATCGAGCAGGGTGGACAGGGGTATGGATGCTACTGCTCAGGCCTTCCCGTCTTCTTATACTTCTTCATCCTCATCATCCAGCTCCAATTTTATTTTTAACCCCCCCCCCCATTTTCAATACCCCAATTCTTGGCCCTCCGCCAGCTTGCTTCAATAGTTGCTTGTCTGCTAGTTTCAAATCACATACAGTCCCAGGGCGTCGCTCCAATCCAGTCCACAAGTCCATGTTAAACTAAGCGGACAACGTCAGTTCATCCGTTTTCCTATGGAGTCCTCGACTCTCGCTAAGACTGGCATGCCTCAACATGCGCACTTTGCTACAGACTGGCCAACAGGCAGCACTTGTCTGTACACTAGAGACCCTATCGACCGATATTTGCTGTTTATCAGAAACCCGCCTGCAAGATTCGAGCTCCGTGGTTACCCTGCGATCTCCCACATGCGACACTGGCGGCACATTCTCATTGCGCCTGTCTGGCGATGATGCAGCTTCAAATGCCGGTCATTCTGGCGGCGACATGGTTTCGAGTCCCCGGGCTGAAGTTGCCCTGATAGACTGGATCCCAGAAGAAGCACGGATACGATGATGTTGGCTGGCGATCTAAACGCCCAAATCGGAAAATTGTACTCTGATGAGCTTCATCTGGGTAGCCAACATGGTGTAGGCTCCCGCAATAATAACGCTGAGCGATTGCTACAGCTGTGTGAAGATGCTCTCCCTTTTCTCGCGAGCACTAACCTTCGACACAGAACCCGCAGAAGTGTGACTTGGCGGCCACTACCCTCCGGCCAGACATGGACGCAAATCGATCATATAGTGATCAGTTACCGCTGGAGAGGCTGTGTCCAAAACTGTCGCTCGATTTGGAGCACGAGCGTGGACTCTGACCACGCACTTGTCTGCGTCGACCTCCTGGTGCGTTTCGGTGGACGGCCGCAACATCCATGTGAACGGATTGACACCAGCCAGCTGGCGAAGCCAGATGTTCTGAATGTGTATCAAAATGCGCTGACATCTGGGCTGAGTAAGCGCCCACTAAATACCGTTGAAGATCACTGGCCGCATATTCGTCAAGTGTTGCTGTTAGCAGGCATGCCTTCATGTGGCAAAGGAAATTGCCAAACCGGACATTGGGTCTCTACACAGTCTCCGGAACTTATGGATGCTCGCCGACGTATTCCGGCTGGAAGCGAATACAATGAGACTCATAAAATCTCAGGGCAAAACTACGTTCTAGCCTGAAGAAAGACCGCGAAACCTGGTGGTCTCATCGTGCTTCTGAGATGGAAACAGCCGTTGCCATTGGTTATCATCGTAAGTTATTCCCTCTGATACGGGAAATAGGCAGCAGGAGACCTGGTGTTAGCGAAACCATACGCGATGAGAGTGGGCAGCCGATCCGCAACCTGTCAAAACGCTTGGAGCGTTGGGCTGAACACTTTACAAGGCAAGTTAACTAACCTGAGTCATCGGTTTCTTTTTCGGGCATTGAGCACCATTCTCCTTGGGCCATCTCCTTAGATGCGCCCTCACGCACAGAAGTCAAACGTGTGATCAGGCTGTTGAAATTGCATAAGGCCGCAGGGACAGGTAGAATTCCCCCAATTCTCTTCAAATTCGGGGGACCTGCTCTAGTAGGTGATCTACATGAGTTGCTAGTAAAACTTTGGGAGCAGGAGACAGTACCGACAGACTGGAACCGCTCCGTCATTGTCCCAATTTTCAAGGGAGGCTCCCGTTTAGAATGCGGCAATCATAGAGGGATCACTCTGATTTCGATTGCCGCTGTCATTCTCCACAGACTGACTGGCACTCGTGAAAGCCAGATGCGTGAAGAGCAAGCCGGATTTCGTCGAGGCCGGGGCTGCATTGACCACATCTTCACCTCGCGCCAATTGTTGGAGCACCAACATGCTTATCGACGACCCACTATTGTCGTGTTTCTTGACATAAAAGGTGCCTTCGATTCAGTCGATCGACGTGCCCTTTGGGACTGTCTGCTGAGGAAAGGTGTGCCTGATAAATATGCAGACAATATCAAAGCGCTGTACGCGCATAGTTCGGGTAGAGTGAGGGTTTATGGCAAACTGTCGCCACCCTTCAGTATCACCAGCGGTGTGAGACAATGTTGCCCGCTGTCACCTTTCCTCTTCAACTTCGCTATTGATGAAGTCATGGAAACAGCATTTACAGGACACGGTGTGGAGCTACTTCCTGGTGAGCGACTTCTTGACTTCGAGTATGTGGACGATATCACCCTAATCTGTGATAGCTCCCAAACATGCCAAACAGCACTGGACCGATTAGCACTGACTGTCTATCGTTTTGGGCTATGCTTTACTCCATCGAAATGCAAAGTACTTCTTCAAGATTGGCAGGGACCCAACCCTGCGCTAACGCTTGGTGGTGATCTGCTAGAAGTCGTTCAGGAATTCAAGTACATGGGCAGCTATATTAGCACCCGTGAAATCGAAGATGAGGTTACGAACCGTACAGCAAAAGCTCGAAGTGCTTTTGCCAATCTCCGCCACCTGTAGCGCAAACGTGACATTACTCTCGCCATGAAGGGCAAAGTTTATAAGGCAGCTGTCCGTTTAACTCTCCCATATGATTGTGAAACCTGGCCCATCAAGTCGACAGACATAACGAGGCTCGTCATATTCGATCATCGCTGCCTTTGCAGCTTAGCTCATGTCTGGTGGGAGCACCGCATGAGCAATGAGCGTGTTCGGCGTCGCGTATTTGGTGCAAGAAAAGCGAGTGAACCGCTCAGCACCATTATATCACGCACTAGGCTCCGATGGTTGGGCCAAGTGTTGCGCATGTCAGCACACCGACTTTCCCGAAGTGCATTGTTTGCGCGTTGTGGGTGCGGTTGGAAGAGAAGGAGGGGAGGCCAAGCGATGACTTGGTCGAAAAAATGAAAACACTTCGAAGTTGGTGCATCCTGACTGCCTGGCTGAGGTCCAAAGGACAATGAACACGTTTGGTCGGACACACTAGCTGATATTGCTTGGAGCCGGCCGAAATGGCGTTTGTGTTGTGAGTTTCTTTGTCCATCCTCTCCTGCTTAGCATCCCCCTCCAATCACGATCTCACTCGTTAGGCTTAATATAACTATCTTTTTACGGTACGAAAGCCAGCTGTTAGCTCTCCGGAACGATGTCCATCCGTTACTGTGGACTCAGCCGGCGCGTCACTGTTTTTTTCCTTTTCTCATCCATTGTATTGCGGCACAACAGCTGAGGTGTTTTCCATCTGCAGCTAACGTGTAGAATGATGATGATGAGGACGAAGTATGGGTTGAACCGATTTCTGGATTTGAAAGGTGTTAAATGTGGGGAGTGATTGAAGGTTGTAAGGGAGAGAAAAGCTATGAAGTAAGGATCGAGATTAGCGTCATTCGACGGAATGGAGTGTACCTGAGGAGGCGATGAGTTAATAATACTATGCATCGTGCGGAGCAGCAGAACCAACCAGCTGACACCGCAAGATCGCAGTGGAGAAGAATACGAGACATGCAACATGAGAACTACAAAAGAAAACGGCGCATTTGGAGGTAGTACGATGTCCATGCGAGTTGAGCAGACATGGGGTCAACAGCTTGAAGGTTAGTCGATCACTGGCAATTACACGGTCTGGATGAATAGCACATATTCAATTTGGACTGAGGTTAACAAAGCTCAAGTGCAGGCTAAGGAAGCAGTAGCAAGAGGAAATGCGTCACATTTGCGAGTGATGTGAATCCATGCGAGACATCAAATGATCGTGTTGTCGTGTGAGTAACAAATTTTTGATCGAGGCCCAGACTTCGTCTTTAATTTTCGGAGGACTGTCACGACAAGCTCCATCTCAACACATGTGCGCCAACAACGCGGGAACAGAATACTGCAGCTACAAATCTTCTTCATGTATATGCTCTCTGTTACTCGTAGCGAGCAAGGCATCTTGGGAAAACAAGTAGGTGATTGTGCGTAAGGGCCCAAGAACCTAGCCCGATTTGTCTGTATAACGGTGCGATAAGAATTTTGACGAATGCAGTGTTGCCATATCCAATTGAATATTAAGCGCAAAGCTAACTCGTATCATGCCTTGCAGCGAATAAACTGCACCCACGAACACTACAGGAGACAGCAAAGGTAATCACCATTCGTTTCCAAAACCTATACGCACAAAACAAATTAACACAGACCATCTAACCTAGACGAACGATAGCGATTACCCCACATCCCCCGACTTGACCACGATGGGACTAACAGCCCGACCGATTAGACATTTCGATCCTTTGATTTATGTCGGACCTAGTCCTATGAATGCCGCACAAAGGACTACCACGGCGCGCCCTATTGGCCAGTACAAGACCGCGCTGAAAGAAATGGTGCGGTGTTCAGTTTACCATATGGTCAAAGCGATGAATTCCGGACCACTGCGTCTTCCGGCCGGAAGATCCAGGACACTACTGTACATAAATCCATAAAAATGGCGCGAAATCGGGTTCAATGGAAGATCTGAGTGAATTTGACTTGATATAAGTGATCAACAACACAATCATTTAACAGACAAAAGGCGTAAAAAAACAGCTTCATTTTTATTCATTTCCTTCTCGGTGATTCGTGCACTTAGTACCTACACTCACTATATGCTTTTTGATGGGTCGATGTCTAGCACATACATAAGCTGTAGCGGTGTATCAACTTTATGTTGAACAAATGAAAGCAAATATGCTCGCCAACCCTTTGTTGATATTCTAAAGCATTTCTTCAAATATCCTAACTGTAGACCCCTTAAAATGCCTTAAAATAAACCGGGAAAACAACATAAACAAACCGACAAACATCTTTGTTGTAAGAAACGGTATTGCACAAAGTAGGAAATTTTGAAAGTCCTTCGAACGAAAAGAAACAGGAACGGTATGTGAGAGAACAGAGGAATGGAATCAGAACGAATGTATTTTAAGGCAGTCTGCCAAAAGTAGCCGAGCCAGCAGACATAAAGAATGTGGAAAAGGATGTTTAACACGCGAGGAAACAAACTGGACTCAAATCCATTCACGAGGTGTTCGGAGCACCTCTAGGAGATTTCGGTTACGTGGATCCTTGGTGTCGTCGTAGCAGTAGACCCATTGCTGTAAAAAAGGAGGTCGACACATGTGTGGATGGGAATTGAAAATGCCAACAGAAGGAATACACAACTGACTAGTAACTCGAAGAAGAAGGAAAAAGCCTAGCAATCAGAGAATGATGCTGTGGGAACAACGTTCTGTGAAAGGATCACGAGGTGTTTTGTGCGAATGCAATGCTGACAAAGTAAGCCGACTAGAGTGCTACAAAGACCGCAAAAGCAGATGTTAAGTGAGTTCCATCCGAAAGCATCAGATATTCCGCACAGGAGAACATACATGAGTAGGAATTACTGTGGAAACGTAGGGAGTGCAAGAGCATAGGATGCGTAGGGCTCCGGGTAAAAGGTACATCTTAAAGCGGATCAGAGAGGACATCCATACATGGTTGCAGTAGTGGTGAATGGGGATACGGCCGAATGGCCATTTAGCGAGATCACCCGGATAGAACTAGGGAACTCAGTGGCCCGCATGTGCATATCTAGCGGAACACCGTGCCCGCAGTCCATGTAAGAAGGGGACTAGAGTGGGGCTAACTCATGCCTGCAAACGATACAAACGAAATGAAATATATTCACCAATTGTCCAATGGTGCTGTCTACGTGGCATAAGGCAGGCAAGTCGAAACAATATTGGCTAAAACGCATATAAAAGCACAATTGAGTGTGGCTCAGCGAGATCCTGAAAGTCTGTAAAGGTGGCACGCCCCATCTGAAAAACGCCACGCAAGCATTATTTTGAGCTCGTGGGAATTGTGGTGATGGGACAAAAAGCGGCATAATGGCTGCCGATACTGTGCAAAGTGTCGAGATTTGTCCGGACCGTCTCCATGAGGACAATGGCTCTACTGCAACGATATTCTATCACGAGGAGGACAGATTAGTCAATGTTGGAGCATGGCACTAACATCGTCTTTCAAAAGCCTAATTTGAGGAGCCAACAAGCACACTAATGACTTATACTTCCCTCTACCTGTCAAATGAACTACCACGATTTCATGGTATTCTGCCCCCTCCCCAAATCAAGAAACCATAGAGCACTTGTTTAGACTATCAAACATTCGAGTAGAGTCACCTATACCACTGACCCACCATTGCCGCATTTTTGAACACCTACACTGCGGACTAAAAGTCCGCTTTGCGACGTTCCTTACAAAGAATGGGGTGCCCACGAAGTACACTACCATACTTCGAGCGTTAAACTTCGATGTCTCGGGCAGTGGGAGGGCTTATGGTAAGCGCTCTTTACTTTTCGCCATCACTAGTAATGTACAACAGCGGTGACCAATATCCCCGTTTCTGCTCAGCTTTGTGACTGAGGATGTCCTATTGTGCATTGTACAAGGCTTTTATGATTCTGATTTAGAGCCTTTTCCAGACAACCGCGCGACTACTACACTGATGATATCATCTTGTGCGGTGACCAATCCCGAAATATGCAACTCATTATAACCTTGATGATGAAAGCAACCAAGCATGGCATAACTTTTGCTCCCCCAAAATGCAGAGTTCTGCTCCAGTGTATTAGGAGAACAGCTATTAGACATTCATTTATTGTGACCGAGCTTGATAGCTATTCTTTACCCTCCTTATTTTCTGTTTCTTGACTGTTGTTTAAACGCGCTACTGGGTTCGCCCGATTGGTACATCCGCGTCATTGTTAATGGACGCTCCTCGTCATGTCTTTCTCAGCAGCGCTGTTTGCAAGAACATATTCTATTGGCTTTTTTCTTCTCATTACTGTTCTACTTGGTTATGTTAAAGGAATATTTAGTGTCACGCAATTATTGTACTAGTTTTCAACTTTTGGATCTGCATTCCTTATTCGCGTTTGTTTCGTGACTTTTGTTTAAACGTCTCATTTCGTCATTCTGATTGGCCAGTGCCCGTCACTGTAAATGGTCGTTCGCCTTACGCTTGGAGTCCAATGATGCTATTTTTAGGGACTTACGCGATTCGCTCTTACATACACGGTTGTTTATTCGTCGTTGCATTTTACGTTTTTCCTTCAGTTGGTTGGCTCAAGTGTACTTTAGTAGCTTTCCTTCATTTTGCCTTCAAACTATATAAGCAACTGTGATTTCATGTATACAAGTCTCCTTCTGGCTCGTCTTTGGACTTCTTCTTGCGGTCGTGGGGTGAAGGCATCAGCGGCGACACAACAGAGTTTCTGGCGACGGAGGTTCCGGTAATCATGTCGATCTCGTTCGAGCAGATGCAGATGCTTCTTCAACAGCAACAACTCCAGTTTGAAAAATCTCAACGACAGTTGATCGAGTTGCTATCTCAGAAGCTGAACATTCAAAGCGAATCCCCGAAGACAACCGCACGGCCATCGGTGGACGCACTTGCGGCTTCAATCACAGAATTTGTTTTCGATGGATTGAACGGATTGACATTTGAATCCTGGTTCTTAAAGTATGAAGATATTTTTCGAGTGGAACTTGCAGACCAAGACGATGCCTGGAAAGTTCGTTTGCTGTTGAGGAAACTTGGCGCAGTCGAACATGAACGTTATACAAATTTCGTGTTGCCGAAGAATGCAAGAGACTTCAGCTTCGATGAGACGGTGAAAACGCTGACGCAGATATTCGGTGAGCAGGCCTCTCTCTTCAGTGTTCGCTACAATTGCTTGAAGTTAGTCAAACACGATGCCGTTGATTTTGTCACACATGCTGGGATCGTAAATCGCGAATGTGAACGATTCAAACGGGGTCTGATGACACCGGATCAATTCAAGAGTCTTATTTTCGTGTGCAGTCTCCAGTCCCACGCAGATGCCGATATTCGAACACGTATTCTCCATAAGCTCGAACAAGAACCACAGTTGACGCTGCAAGAGATTACAGCCGAATGCCAGCGACTGATTAACTTGAAGCACGACACAAAAATGATTGAAACTGCTGACCACAGGACAGAACCCCAGATTTGTCGCACAGCTATCCGTGGTAAAGTGATGAACCAGAATCGGTCAACTCAGAAGCCCCCGACCGCATGCTGGAATTGTGGCGCTTGGCATTTTGTGAGAGACTGTATCTACAAAGGGCATCAATGTCACAAGTGCAAGCGGTTTGGTCATAAGGAAACCCACTGTCGAGTTGCGCACAACTTTAGACGTTCATTTCCCTCGAGGTTGCGCACAAACATAAACTTCAGAAGGGCGAAATTACATGGACCGGCCACAAAGGTAGTTCTCGCTGCATTTCGCACGGAATTCGAAGGCAAGAGAAAGTACTTAACATTAAAAGTCAATGGTATTCCAGTCACCTTGCAACTAGATACGGCGTCCGACATCACAATCATTTCGCGATCCACTTGGAGGAAGCTTGGAAGACCGGCATTCAAGCGCACAACTCTAACGGCTCAGAATGCATCCGGGGAACCGCTGAGATTGGATGGAGAGATTGAATGTGAGGTCAACTTCAAGGAACTACAACTCCGCGGCACAATCTACCTAGTCTCATGCACCGACGTCAATCTTCTCGGAATCGACTGGATTGAAAAGCTGAACTTGTTTAATGTACCACTGAATCGTGTCTGTGCTGAAATGAATGTCACGGTGCACCATACAGCCATACCGACTCCTCCGGGTCAAAGCATCTCTGAACAGCCTCAAACGAAGTATGCATGTGTATTCCAGTCGGAACATGGACACTGTAAAAAATGCAGGCAAAACTTACTCTGCTTCCAGATGCCAGACCTGTGTTTCGACCCAGACGTCCTGTCCCTTATGCTTCCCAAGCACTTGTTGGACAGGAACTTGATCGATTGCAGCAGGCCGGAGTGATCGAGCGAGTCAATTTTTCACCAAGGGCTGCGCCTATTGTTGTGATCAGGAAACCGAACGGTTCTATTCGTTTGTGTGCAGATTTTTCAACGGGCCTGAATGCTGCAATGGAACCCCATCAGTATGCACTTCCACTCCCTGAGGACGTGTTTGCAAAACTGAACGGAGGCAAGTATTTTGCTACTCTTGATCTTGCAGACGCCTATTTGCAGTTAGAAGTCGAACCCGAAACCAGAAAGCTGCTATCAACACACATCGGGGTCTCTACCAGTACAACCGTTTGCCATTTGGAGTCAAAACGGCACCGGCAATCTTCCAGCAAGTCACGGATGCCATGCTGACGGGTGTAACCGGAGCGGCAGCCTACCTGGATGACATCATAATAATGGGATGGACGCAAGATGAGCTATTTCAACGATTGGATGATGTGCTACAAAGAATCAAAGATTACGGTTTCCGATTACGAGCAGACAAGTGCAAATTTTTCCTGAAGTCAATTAAGTTCCTGGGTTTCGTAATTAACGAGAACGGCCGACGACCCGATCCCGAAAATATCGAGGTGATAGACCGGTTACCGGTGCCATCAGATGTCACAACTTTACGGTCATTCCTTGGGATGGTGAGTCACTATAGTGAATTTCTACCATGCATGCATCGCTTGCGGCATCCTCTAAACCATCTGCTGATAAAAGACGTCGAATGGAAATGGTCTGCACAGTGTCAACAGTCGTTCGAGAAACTGAAATCTCTGCTGAAGTCGGACTTACTGCTTACGCATTATAACCCGAAGCTGGAGATTATTGTTGCCACGGATGGTTCAAGCTATGGAATTGGTGCTGTCATTTCACATCGTTTTCCAGATGGATCCGAAAAGGCTATAGCACATGTTGCACGGGCGCTGACGGCATCCGAAAAGAATTATAGTCAGATTGAGAAAGAAGCGTTGGCTATCATCTTTGCAGTGCAGAAGTTCCATAAGATGGTATATGGTCGACGGTTCAAGTTGGTGACTGATCACAAACCGCTTCTGGCAATCTTTGGATGCAAAAAGGGGATTCCGGCTTATACGGCCAGTCGACTTCAGCGATGGGCAACTCTGCTCTTAGGTTATGATTTCAGCATGCGATACTTGTCTACGGATTCTATAGGGCAAGCGGACGCCCTTTCCAGATTAATCGATATCGGTAAGCGTGAGTCAGAAGACGCAGTCATTGCCTCCA